CCGTTTCGACTGTGGGATGGTCGGATTTTGTCAACATCAATAAAATGCCATATAATCATATGTAACTCGTTAAATATCGAAATTAGAAGAGAAACAACTTTTATTTCAAGCATTTTTCGAAATTTTGAAAAAAAAACAAATTTTCGTCAGCATCAATACTTAATTGGATATTTCCTTCTATACTTTTTAGCACGTAGCTATTTATTATTAGCATTATTCTTCCGACGTCTGATTTCTTTTTAATTATGGGAAATGCGTTTTTCTAAGGTACATAAACTTTTGGTATTGACTGTATAGCCAATACATCCTTAAGAAGAAATAATTTTGTACACGTTGCTCGTTCCAGGAACGTGACGGTGATCAACTATCAAGGGACTTGCAGTCCACAAGAGTCTCATCAATCCTCTGCGTCGAGGACGATCTCGGAGTCCTTTACAAGGACGATTGCTGTACTGGGAAATTTCCTATGGAACATGGCCTACGGATTCAATTTCCAAAGTTTGTGGCAGGTTGTTCTCGCGTTCGCTGGCGAACCTGCGAGATTAAACGGTGACGGTAAGAATGCAAAGCTCACCCTCACACTTTATTCGATTCCACATAAATCAAACTGTTTATACGATCTTAGATGAAACGGTCGATGCCCGCGAGTTTGAACCGTTTGACGATTCGACTGACGAAGCGATACACGAGGAAGACGAACGATTTCCAAGACTGCCAGCGGTAGCTGCTGCAACCCCTGCGTTCCCCAGCGCGACGCGAGCCACGACCGGTCACTATCCGCACAGAAAACTAAGATCCTGTGAGAAAACGACGGACCTTTACATCTTGCAACCGGGCAGACTGAATTCGAGCAATCCGTTGAAGGGAAAACTGACCAACTGTCACGACAGTGGTTGCGAAAGGTACGTTCACCTCTTCGAATACTTTTAGAAATATTAAAATAGTCGTCAATTTACAAATCACGATTTAAATAGCAACAAATATTTTATCGAGAATATACGTTTCGGTGCTTGCAGGCCGTTCAGCGTACAGAAGATCCGTCACACGAATCTAATTCTGCTGGTGGTGGACACGCTGTGTCCGTGCGGTAGTAAACAGCTGAGCATCGATCCGACGGAGGCGGTCGCGAACATAAGCGTACGCATCGCGAGGAGAGAACGTCTGTATCGTCGCAGGCCACCGAAATGCATAAACTACCACCCGGAAGAGATGGAGATAAAATATTGCGGTACCGCGAATCGTCCTTGTCACTCGTTCTCCGTGCTGGCCGTGGTGGTCGCCGCATACGCGGTCGCCACGCGACTCGCGTGACTTCGTTCACGAGTTCACCTATTGAAATTACACGTACTTACTTACATAGTCACGCACGCGCGCGCGCACACTTGACACATTTACACAACGACACGCGCACACACATATATACAGACAGGACAACAGACATTCTCACGGATTAATGTACTTGAAATGAATTTAGCGTTGACGTTTCTATGAAACATTTATGAAAAACAAAATGGTATACTAGTTGATCGATTTAATACCTATATACTGATAAAGATACGTGCATAACGAGTAAGGGAGCAGGTGCGTGCGCGCGTACGCGGCGCGTACTCTTCGATCGCGAGTCCTTTTCCCTTTCGCGAGGACCAGGAGGGAACCTGTATCTAAGTACGTAGGAAGTTATTTACTTGCATACGCGTGCGTCCGCGTGCGCGTCAACCCTTCCGGAATCACTGTCCCAACGTTCGTGTATTTTAAAGGGACACCGAGGAAGATCATCTTGCCAGAGCTGTCCGCTATAATTTCGACAATAAACGGCCGGTTCTGGCAATCTTCTTACGAGTTTAGTGATAGGAGAATATATTACAGTGCGACTGAATCGTTCAGTCGCGTTAATTGTTGACAATACATAATAGTATTAATAGCGTTTCAGCCTAAAATTTATTTACAGGATTCCTTTAGGGTTGACGTGGCCGCGTTCGCGTAGATGCAAACAGTCGTCTTCGATTGCTCCGTGCTGACAGAAATCACCATGGCTCTAACGAATCTTACAATTAGTTAGTAGCGTAATTTGCTTCGCTATAAGCGTGGCGGAATCAAAGGCACCGTTGACATACGCGTTTAATTGGCACGCGTGCGCGTGCACGCAGGACATGTGTACATATCGGGGATACATAATGTTAATGTTGATCTATCATTACATATTCCATTATGAATTTTGTTGCAACAAAGAATTGTGAATATTTCTTAATCGTATTACAGCGTCGAAGTTAAGTCTAAGGAGGTGACGATTTAAAAAGGATAAATCTCATGTATGTATTCGCGGCGCGTGTTTCAATAAAATGGGAACGGTGGCCGTCTTGTACAGAGTTGGAAACAGTTCGTCCCGGAACGGTTCTCATCTCAGTTGAATCCCGAAATCCTTTTCGCGACTGTTTAAAAATGTTCACTTTAAAAGTGATTCTGAGGAGAATGTTTCCGACTCTGTGACAGACGCAACGCGCCAAGTCAAGTCCAGATGCGTCGAAGTAATTGGATCATCGTTAGACTGCGGGTTTCTGTGCACTCATAGAAAATTTCCTTGTAAAAGAGTGCATATGACGCATACGATTTGTAAAAATATACATAACAGCCAATGTAAGCAATAGGTTATTAAATTTAAGGGGTGAAACGATTTTCTAACTGAATTAAATTTTTAAAAACGTGCTTGCAAACCCTTTTGATTCTGCAGAAAAGTCCGCAGTCTAATCGTTACAGTCCGAACGAAGACTTTCCTTTTTCATCGTTCGAGCGAGTTTTAAAGGCGTTCCCGTTTCTTAAACATTTTGATGTAATCTACGCATACGACACTATCGTCGAATCCATACGTTTTTTGAGGAGTGTGTGCGTGTGTGCGTCGATCATTTGTCGGATATCATTTAGCCTAATCACCGCGCGTACCGCAGGGTACGGTTTCACGCTTGCAAATCTCGCGGTGTTCCGAGCGCGCATAATTGATTAATTCCAAGGTAAACGCGAATAAGCTGTTGTCGAAACGTTCCTAAATCTACGATTTGATTTTCAATCGAAGAGGAAACATACGTAATAGGGGATCCGTCGCGTACCCGCGTCATTCGAATTTATTATTCCAGCGAGACTCGGTTTGTTGGAGACGGGCCTGTCGATTGCCAAAAATACGTCGATTTGATTGTCGCTCGGTATGCATTCGAGTCAACGTTTTCCTCGGGCGTACAACGCGTCGCCGACATATGGTCGAATTTTTACATTGAATTTACTCTTGTTTGTTAGACGATGCGCTGACTCTCCGCTTTTTCGAGAGAACTTTCCGAACGTTGAGATTGTTAAACGCACGCTGGAATCGTTCTGCGGAGAAATCAAAACGAATCGCTTCTTGCGAGACTTGTACGCTGCAGTCGCTAAAAGTACACGGAAGAAGAGAGTTGCGAGGGAACGGGTGAATAAGCTCGATAGAGTATCGCGGCAAGCTTGGAGCAACGAAATAATCGACTAGGGAACGAGAAGCGTCGTAGTGAATTTCTTTTTATTTAATATTAAGAGAACGTGTAAAGCATATCAAATCCTTCCGAACAACTATGTCTCTCAGCGATGATACTCGCAACTGTCGTCGACGATCCAAACCATGCACAATGGCTGTTAAAAGTACGAGTAGTTTCTTGATCTTCGATACGATTCTACGTTTCACTTTCACGATGATTGCCGTCAATTTTTAATAGACATATCAATAATGTTTAGACCGCAGGTTTCACGTGTTCATAGGAAAAAGTATTCAGAGAACATGGAAAATGTGAAAAGGATGAACGAATATTTCTTTTTTTATTCTCTGTGAAATTCTGTGGTCTGACGAATCATATCAATTTTAATTATCATTAACTGAATTAACTGAATGACCAAAAATTCGAACCTTATCCTTGCTTGAACGTTAAGACGAAGTACATCGATCTGCCGATAACTTTTTCCAGTCATTGTACGCACGGATTCTCTCCGATTTTCGGTCCCCGGTAATGCGCGAGATTAAGGACCAGCAAGATAGAGCAATTTAAAACGCGATTTCGCGAGCAGCGGATAGAATCCCTGCATAGGTTAAATAAATGTTGTTCGGACGACGATGTTACGTTTCGTACGTGATTCGGAGACGACGCGAGGAGGTGATAAGACAGGCATGTCCACAGGAGCGCTCTGAGGAGCACGCAAGAGCGGGTAGCGGTTCGAAAGCCGTTTGTTCGTGTCGAGCGAGTCAGTTTTGGCTTCAGAAGCCGCCTTGTAACTGCGATTTTGCCTCGTGGTCGAACCATAGAGATAATATTATAGGCCAGTATTCAGAGTCGTTACTTATTCTTAAGATCGTCTTAAGAATTTGCTATCCCTGTCTATCCCATATTTCCAGTCCCTGTTTTCTACAGGAAACAGAAACTTAAGCAAATGCTTAAGACGATCTTAAGAATAAGCAACGACTCTTAACTACTGACCATAGAATAGGTAAGTCGTACGGTCGTGTGTAAAAAAAAAATGGTATATGTATAGAAAAAGAGAAAAGTTCAGGGTAGCGACGCTGTCTCTCTTGAATTCAAGTCATTCAAGAAATATAGCATCGCCACCGTCATCTTTTCTCTCTTCCTAATGCTTTCCCACTTTCACGGCTGTCTCCCCTGCTCTGTATGTATTATCTCTATGGGTCGAACGTAAGAAAAAAACAACACGCGCAGATTCGCACTGAACGAACCTACGTAGGCCTACAGACACGGTGTCACAATGTTCGCTTATTATCAGCTATTAACACAACGTCAGTTCTCCGCTACTTTACAACCCTCCGCTCCATGCTCGGCTCGTCACCCTGTCTGGGAACCAGCGGGAGTGCTCCGACCCTTAAAACAGTGGTTCGGACGTGCCTGCAATAGCAGAGAGAAACGGGTATTCACGCGTTCAACGCTGTTTGAGATACTTGCGTACGTACACGTCGTCTCTGTCTCGTATTTCACGCGTGCACTGTAAAACGTCGCAGTGCGTCACTACTCACGACAGACACGTTATGATCTTACTCTGCACAAACGTGTTCAATAATTGTGACGGTATTAGAATCGTGCAGATGCCTAATTGTTTTGTTTTAGTAAATAAATTAAAAGAGGCTCTAAGAAGAAAAGTGCAGGTCATAGTTTATGATGTATACATATAATGGTATCATGAAAATATTTTACGGTAACGATGCGTTTAGCTATAACTTGATACGGTCCGTTTCAATGCAATATTCATATTTCGTCCTTTAATACCTTTCTTGATGCTTATACACGAGCTTGTAATAATTTCGCGTCGACTTACTGTATTTTCGCGGTACCAGCAGTTTCGTTGGATCTCGCGATAGTTGAATTATTATACGTGTACCGGCAGAATTACGGGACGCGCTTGTGCGCCAACTAGCCTAACTACGTGCTGAACACACGGACTATAAAAAAAAGACGGGTGAGAAGGGGAGAATTAAATTAAAAGATTATAATATTCTATTATTACGCATCTCGCGGTTTGTTTATCTACAATAATTAGTACGTACATCGTTTACAAATCTGTGACTTAGAGATGCGGCTTCGTTTTGCAGCGAGACAGCGCGTAAAGAGAAACTAAATAAATTAAAAATAACTAAATACACACAGCGAAGCTATCGGGTGGTAAGGGGGAAACGGTCTACAACTACGTTGTGAACATAAAAAACAAAAAAAATAAAAATTTACGAACGTTCTAGGTAAGAGATTGTCTTTTGAAACGGCACTTTCTAGTGCTGCCATGTCTTCCATTATTTGTATAATATTAATAATAATTAATAAAAGTCGATCGCAAATGTAAAACACGCACCAGTATGCGCACACGTGTGTCCATACGCGAGAGGATTCGTGTATACGTACACGCACCCACATAATAAACATTGTTCCCGGGTACGTGTACGCGTACACCATCGATAAGGTATATTGAACACTTAAAATTATGTAACTGAAATACGGCATAACATTATATAATAAAAGTTAAGTGCAAGTGTCACAAGCGTGTATCTTATCAGTCTTAGACCTTTATCACGCGAGTTATCTATGATTTTCAATATCCACAATAATATTTATCGATTATTTTTATCGAGACAGTTACTCCGGCTCATGTGCCATACAATTCAGGCAGGAATTAAATCTTCCTTAGCTAGTATTTCTTTGACTCTGCTCGATTTTCGATTTTTTATACTATTCCTTTTTCTCATTTCGTTGCCATGACTACTTAGGTTTCTAAAATCAATATTAACACTCTAAAATTATTTGTTACTGGTATGTACTTTTTCGTCTCTTGTTTTATGGGGTCTAACGCCCTATTACCATTTCCATATCATTCACAATCAGGATATTATCATTAGATTGTGAAAAACAATTCCAATGCTGACTACAGTACGAAATGCACTAATATATTGTATAAATGACTGAATTGTGATTAATAAATGAATGGAGAAGCTTGGCATTTTTATTTCATACGCATGATCCATGATCCTTGACCAGATGACCATTCTATGGGACCTTGAGATTGGGGATCGTAGTTTTTTAGGTCACCCGAATAATCAGTGAGTATACACATATTGGATAAACATCGATTTTGGTAGAGGATGGGGGTTACATGGGCAACGACTATCCCGTGAATAGATATACATTTTACAACATATTTATTTAAGGTTCTGAATAAGATACGAGATACAAAAGTGTTCTATTCGTAGAATAATTATTACTTTATTCTAATTATACATGAAAAATTATATGAACAGGAAGAACGAATAATTTAGTTAGAATAAGTAGAAACAAATAAAAATAATTAGAAACTTAGTATGAATAATATAATGTTTTATAACTTATCCTTCATCTTCCCCAATTCGTTGGATAGATAAAATATTGTAAATAGCGTTCGTGAAATTAGACGTCGGACCAAGTACATGTAACCGAACGTCACATCTTTCTAACACGTACTGCCACTTTAATACTTCTCGTTCAGGTATTATCATTGCCTAAAAGGAATTACCAGAGGACGCCGGTAAATTTGATTTATTATATCGTGACAACGATGTGAAAAATCTAACTACCTGAAACTCGCTAGCCGTACAACCAAGAACACGTTCGGCCACTTCTCCGGATAATCGACATCCGACTAAGTAACCTGTGTCATCTTTTAAATTCACTTTTAAATTGAGGTGCATCACGTTTATAGGCTTACGAGCACCGTTGCCCGCAGGGCATTCAAGATTCATGCAAGAATCTTGATTTTCAAGAACGGTCTTTTTACACATCGCGCTGAGGAATACGAGAAGTTAAAAGAAAGAACGGGCGAATAGGAAAGAAAGGAGAAACGAAGGATAGAATAAGTAAATAGACCATCTGATGGTTAGCATCCCAGGATCTAAACATTCTACGTTTATGTCCATCACGTAGGCCTTTAGAATTGCCGCGAATTGAATCCTCTCGTCTTGTTGCGGTTTCTGGTTTAACTTCGTTGTAATCTGTTGTATAGTCATTACAGTACTGATCGAAACAGCTATTAAAACACAGAGGTGATAAATCATAAAATCTGAGAGTTCGATTCTGTCTACAAAACATAAAACGCGCGTTCTTACGATTTGGGGTCGCGAAATTTCCGAACATCACATCGGGCTCGCAACACTGCACCTTGTTCTTTAAAGCCTCAGTTTGAGGTATATTAGGATTCTCCGTAATAAAGGTTTTCCTAACTACAAATATAGAAAAGGTCAAAATCCCGAAGTCGCGTTCCTTCTCGCTAATTCGATTTCTCAAAGTACAACCTATAGATAAGCCGATTTTTTTCCTATAATTATTGTAAGTGATACGAGCGTCAACGAGAAGGATCACAGTTCGTTTCGGTTCCCACACGTTCGCTCTTTCGATCCAATCATTTTCCCAGAGTGTCAAAGATACCACCTTTTCCGTAGAGTCATCTAACGCCTCGAAACTACGAAACCTCGCGTTTCTCCCGTCGCGCGTTATCACGTTGCGAACATCGCTAATCTATCGAACACGCAAATTTAATTAGTTCTTCTCTTCAACCGAAAAGAGGGTATGATCAAAACGTAGCGCGACAATATTTTATTTAACGACGACCCCGATTTCTAGATGCGAAACCTACGAAGGTGACGATGACCAAGACGTCGACGTATTGATCGCAGAGTTCCTCCAGGTTTTCAAAAATGCTATTCAAAGTCCGCAACCCGGTCAGGTTCCTAATCGGGATTGCCAGCAGGGGTTCGTAGTCTGCGCGCGATGGCGCGTCGTGGTTTTGGATCAACGCGGTGCCTTCGTTTATCGTCAAACTACAAGGAGAGGACACCCACGGCACGAAACTTTCGTTCCTATCTTCCGGACTACGCTCGATCACTTTCGGATTAATCAGCTCTACTGTAAGTCGATGTCATTCGAAATCTCCTGTTCGTTATTCGAATTTCGATAGGCGTACGCATGCATAAATAATTTATCAAACTACAGAACATTTTAGCAAGTAATAGAAACAGATAAAACGAGTTCATAAACATGAACGAATGAATAACGAAAAATTCCGTAAAGTGAATACAATCATAATTTAATTTTCTACAAACCTATGCTCCCGATACGAAACGTGGAAGACAAATTGCCTACATATGCGGTGCTACCCCATACAGTGACGTTTATCGAATCTTCATCAGAACCGCGTAACGTGAAAGACCAAACACCTCGATCACCGTTATTAACTGGAATTTTTATCCTAAACGTTAATACCCGTGCAAACTGTGAACCGATTTTTTGTAGGAAGAAGAATAAATCTTACATCTCATTCGCGTTGATTCGATCGTTCTCATATTTGTATTATGCACAATTATACCGATAACGAACACATTCTGCATTCCCGGTTGCAAAGATTTCAATGATTGCTTGCATATAGCCGACATTGTCGATTCTTTTCTCTTTTAATATTAAATTGTAATCAATTATCTGTAATACTTTGCGCGTGAAAAGAACACAGATCGCGGATCTTTTGGCGCCGTCGTTACCAGCCTACCAGACGAACTTATACATATACTATTTATCATGAATCGATATTGCTGTTTTAATTGAATTACCAGACAGTTACCTGCTTTAAATATATTTTATTGGAACAATTAATGAAAGCTTGTCGTTACTCTCTATTATATCAATATAAATCATACAAATCAGAAACTAAATATTAAATATCGAACGCGGTTATGAATCAGCCTTAAATCGTTACTAGTAGTGTAGTGTTGGCAGTCCTGGCCTGACATCGGCTGACACTTGATTCACTTTCATTGACTTTAGTGACGTCGGTTCGTGGGAGGTGAACTTTAGTGCGAAGTTAATGATTTGAGAGACGCTTTTCATATTACTGCGTGTCAATATTCGTCGAGACCATGGCTGACAACGAGCAGAAGGCGATGCAGCTGATAGCCGAAGCCGAGAAGAAGCTAACATCGAAGGGCTTCTTCGGTTCGCTTTTCGGGTACGTTTACTACATCGATTTACTTGAACTCGTCCACTGCCTGAATCCGCAGTCTCGGCTCGCATTATTTATTTACCCAAAGATTACGATCGAGACTAACGATGCAGTTTGACCTGTCTCGCCGAATAATTTTTGTTTTTTCGCGAATACTTTACTTTCATCGATGACTCAAAGGGTTGACAATTTCTGCGAACTCACGCATGTATATCTGTATGTGTGACACTTCAATCTGTAAGCTATATAGCGCGTCAAAAGTAAATTAAGGTACAACGCAAGGAACGAGTGACAACACATGTCCTCTTTTCCATTCGTTTTTTCATCCTTATGGCTTCTGTAGTTTTATAGAATTTTATTTTCGACTTTTGAATAACGTTTTGAATAATGCATCTTATCATTGACTAAAGTCCAAGTTACTGTTAAAAAGAAAGAAAATGTCATTTGGATGATTTGCATTTATTTATAAATTCAATTTTTGTAGAAATTCGTCAAAGGTAGAAGAAGCCGTAGAATGTTATCAACGTGCTGCAAACATGTTCAAGATGGCAAAGAAATGGAGTTCAGCAGGCAGTGCATTCTATGAGGCTGCAGAGTTGCATGGCAAAGCTGGCAACCGACATGACGCAGCCAGTAATTATGTGGATGCTGCTAATTGTTTCAAGAAGTGCAATATCAATGGTAGAGTCCTTATAACATTATCCGGCTTGCCTAGAAAATTAAGAAGTGCGAGCTGCAGAAATCCGTCACTTTCTATATTTGCAGAGGCAATCAGTTGTTTGTTAAAGGCAATTGAGATTTATACAGACATGGGTAGATTCACGATGGCAGCTAAACATCACCAAAGTATAGCAGAGATGTATGAAAGCGAAGCAGTAGACCTTGAAAGAGCAGTTCATCATTATGAGCAAGCTGCCGATTATTTCCGTGGAGAGGAGAGTAACTCCTCTGCCAATAAATGTCTTTTAAAAGTGGCGCAATATGCTGCACTTCTTGAAAATTACGACAAAGCGATTCAAATTTACGAACAGGCAAGTTGTATTTAGATTATGACGCTGGAGTTGTTTCTCCAAAAACTGAAATTCTTTCTCATACAAGATGTAATGGTTTCTGTTAAACAGGTTGCTTCCGCGTCTTTAGAAAGTTCTTTATTGAAATACAGTGCAAAGGAATACTTTTTCCGAGCGGCACTGTGTCATCTGTGCGTCGACGTATTGAACGCGCAGCACGCGATCGAGCGTTATCAGGAGCAATACCCCGCGTTCCAAGACTCTAGGGAGTACAAATTGATAAAGGTATGAAATACAAAATATATTTCGCGGCGCGAAATTCTTATTCTCAGTTGCATTTATACGCATTTTAAAGGAGATTCGAAATCAGGCTTTGACACGGTAGACAACAGTTTTAATTTTCATTTCAGACGTTAATAGAACACCTCGAGGAACAAAACCTCGAAGGTTTTACAGAAGCTGTAAAGGAATACGATTCGATTTCACGACTGGATCAGTGGTACACGACAGTATTATTACGTATTAAAAAGCAAGTTAATGATAATCCAGATCTACGCTGATCGGTTATTCCTTTGTGCTATTTCCTGTCGGTGATATTATTAATCCTACTCTACATGTATTCTTTTTTAATTCATACCCTGCTTTCAGTGGAACGTGTAAAGTAGTTTCGTTTTTATAACCAAATATATTTTTCATAACCGCCTCTCCTTCTACTATATTGACAACTATTACATGTTCATCGATTTAGTTCGCGTACTCATGTATACAATATTGTCATCAGAGAATATATAAAAAAAATGGAAAAAGACAAATGTCAACTTTGTCGCTAGTTCATTCGAGATGCCGATATACGGGGCATAAAAAACTAAGCATAGGAGTAAATTAATATCGCAACTCTGTTCGTATTCTCGTACTTACGAAATAAATAAATAGCTTGCCAAGAAACCGCAGCTTGCGCAGTTTTGATTTTACCGCATGCGAGTGCGATAAATTATTCAGAAGAAAAGTAACTAATCTCAAGGATTTAGCCGATTTCTGTAAAAGCGTGGCGCAGTCATGTATGCATAATAGTTTTAAAAAGCTTGTTGACATTTGTTACTGGTAACATAATCATTAACGATAACGGGAATACATTTTATGGATACTGAAGGAAGAGCTATAGCCTGTGTTTCTTCTCGATTAAATCGATGTTTGATCTTATTTTACACGTACTGTTTAACTGGAATTGTAGTAAAACGATAATAGATTGTCAGTTGTTATCTTTACACTGCCAGAGTATCAGAATAACGAATGTGGTACGCATTTTGGAACTAATATATTTTACGTTCATCCCTTCTCTTTTAAACCTTCGTTTCTACAGAATTTTCAATAATCTCAAGCCTGAAGTTTTACGTACACGCGTAGTATTCCTTAATCACTTGTTTCGTTTCATTGAAGAATGGAAAATATATTAATTCGTATGTCTTGGAGATGACAGTGATTTAAGTACAAATATCATACCTTAAACAGTTTTATATTCTTTTCCCAAATACGTTAACGTTGATATTATGTTTATAATCTATCGTTATATTGTTGAAAATTAATTTAATGGATGTATATTTATATTTAGAGGTAGATTCGAGGTAGCAGGTGATCATACGAGAAGCGTTGAAAAGATAATTTATCTCGCGTTAATTTAATTGTTAATCGACGAATTTATGTGCGTCGTGACTTCACCACAGCATTTTATATTTAAGAGAAGTTAAATTGTTTGAATACATTTACTCCGGCATACAATATATAATTATATATAAAATATTAATATTATATTTCATTGTTAAGTAGGGATAGGTGATAACGATTTTTGCATGCATGTAATTACTTATTACACATTAGCAATTATTTTCTCCCGAAAAAAACATCACGTTATAAACAAGGATGTTCGTCGAATAAAAAGCAACTCGCAACTCCATGAAAAGTAATGTCGAAACTTTGTAATTTTCTGTTTACTCTCTGTACTTACGTCTCATCATCGATATACACTTGTTTATTTGCGAAAATGATTGTCACAATGAAATACTGAAATATGTCCGTACAGTGATGCGAGTAACGATATCTACAAGCGATTCTCTTTTATTTAATTTATATTTTACTGACGGAGAAAAGTTGCTGCGTGCGTGCGAATACGGATACTCTGGATAATACTTTAGACATGCCTTTGATAGGGAACGCGGCAAATTTCGACGCGTATGTAAAAATTACTTTATATTTATCATATCTATGTACATACATTTACGTACGGTATTGTACATTTAGTTTCTGTATTGATGGATTGAAATAGATAGCTACGCTACGATAATAATTGCGAATTGTTTTTGTATTTTGATTTATGCGTACGTAGTTGGTGCAACAGATACGGCGAGTTGCCAGTGATCGATACTTAACAAGAAAAATGTCTCAACGAGAAATTTAAGATAACACTACGGTCAAGAATGTGATGTAACAATCTCGCTCATTACTTGCACCAACTGTGCAGACTGTCGTAACTCGTACACGGTTTATCAAGATTTAAGTAATAAAAATAACGATAGCACTCTGAAAGATAATTCAATGACAAGATTAACATATGCTTGAATAGTTATGATCCTGTAACAAATAATTATAACTGCAATATCGTATGTTCTGCTATGAATAATTAGAAACGATATCCATTTTATAAAGTGTCCTACACTAAATAAAATACTAAATTGTACGCAACAAATTGTAGTACATAGTAGTAAATTAGACAATACGCTAACGTTCTATTCTTCACCCGCAACTTGCACGTGGATAGTTAAAACATTTCTAGCATGCACTATACTTTTTCTGTTTAGAGTACATAAGATAATAAAATTATATACCATGTACACTTGTAGCCAAACAAGTTTAATAGTTTTTCTCATATTGTATTGCGTGTAGTTGACTGCATATTACGATAGATTTACATTGTAAATAAAAATAATTGAATACGAAGTACGCTCTGTGTCTTGTCAGTTGTTTTAAGAAAGAGAATCATAAAAATTGAGTATATCTCATTAGAAAATTTCCGAAAGCCGCTAAGTGGCTCGTGCAAAGATTGTTATGTCATTTTTATACAGATCTTAGTATTTACGTAAAACATGAACATTGATAAAGTAATTAATCAGAATTCAGAATGAAAGTTCATGCATGAGAACCAGGGGAAGACATTCATCCTACGTGGAAGGAAAGTATTTCGATATATGCATTACAAAAGTTTGCCGCGTGTCGAGTACGAGTATGCGGTCACTGAACCTGACTACGGGCCTTAATATTTAAAATATCGATTAAAAACAATTTCAGCCTTGACGTACTTTCCGAGGCGAACGAATAAAAAGCTAATCAACGGAAACTGAATGAATATATCCGGGTTGTGCCAATTTTCAGATACATATATACACTACGTCCTAATACCGTATTCTTTCTTTTTATTTCCTTTTACATTTTACACGCGGCTCTCGTTTGAAAGGCACTGCAGTGTACTTCACGTGCGTATGCTCGAAAATCGTTCATCCGAACAGATGTACTACATCGCGAGGTAGTACGAACTACTGTCCTCCTAAATTTCGTTCTTTTTAGCGGTACGATAAAATTAAGAATTAAAATCGCTTGTCCATTACTGCTGCTGATAAACGGGCCCCGGATCATCGGCAAGAGAATCTTGCTTTTAAAGTACGTTCATCCCGTTCATCCTCGGACAGGTGAGCGATCCATCTTTTTTACGAAACCGTTCACTTCGTCCGCTTTTCCTTCTCGCAATTCTTTCTACGTGTCGCGTTGTTATTCTTCATCTATTATTTTATTCAGTAGAACGTTCGATAATATGTAAAACAGAGCGAGCAATCTCGGTTACCTATTTTAGGTTGGGTATAACTTGGACAAGAGAAAGTATGCCCTTAATAATAATCTTTGTATTGAAAGAGAAAGGGTACAGGACCGTGTGCAGTCAGGCGAAGATGCACGATTTCAAGATTTTTTAACCGGGATCGTCGATGCCAGAAATTCGTACGAACTTTATTTCGCATAGTACATCGGTTCTTCGTGCCATTCGTTGAGATTGAAGACACGTTAGAGTTGACTTTTGCTAGAATTTGCACATTCCAGATTTTCATAAAACATCATGACAGTACAATAGTTTTGATTCAGCTTTATGTGACTCGTTGAATATTGTGTTTGCAATAACGTGATCGTTATTTCAGAATGGCTCGTGGACAACAAAAGATACAGTCGCAAGCTAAGGCAGCTGAGAAGGCTGCGAAAGTGAAAAAGCAACAGGGACACAGTGCCAATGACCAGAAAAAAGCAGCGCAAAAGGCTTTAGTACATGTTTGTGCAGTTTGTAAGGTTAGTATACTGTTTATATTATATATCTATCGCTAATTGTGAACTTTACGGCTAAAAATTGATGTTTCGTTTGTAGGCACAAATGCCTGATCCAAAGACGTACAAACAACACTTTGAGAACAAACATCCGAAGAACGACTTACCGGAAGACTTAAAGAATATATGAGAGTGGCATAATGCGTAATGAACACAGCATTGGGATGGGGAAAGATTTGTTTATTGATAAAAAGACAAATTACTGCAAATGACAAAGTGATATAGTTTGACATTCAATTGATCATTAAGTAGTCTGGAAAGAGAAAAAATACTTAAACCTTGTTAGTGTTTAAAATGAACTATTGCACAGTTAAGAAACCAATTTTCATGCACAGACCTGAGCTATGTATTTTTAATGATTCATTCGGAAGGTGAAACATAGTTCTCTTCCAGAGATGTTTAATAATTTTCTAATTTTCACTCGATCGAAATGTGTATATTACTGAAAGGAATAAAGATAACCGATTAGAATGATTCGAAATATTCATGCATACTTTGATGTTGTAGCCAGTATAACGATCTTTGTTGAATCATTTTTCTATGACTAAGAAAAACAGAAATATGTTAATGCAGTATCTCGTATTCAAATTTAGATAGAACGTAACATCGTTTATTTATATATCTTTCAAGAAGCGAAGAGTTTAAGTGTTATAGAAAGAATTGTCCACATAAGGAACAAGAAACTGCCATTTTACAGTGTTTCTACCAATTAGATTATTAATGTACACGTTGTACGATGTATGTAACAATTTATATGTAGGTGTTTGGTTATTAAGTTTTCTCGTATCCGAGCCTAATTTCTGTTGAAATTAAATTGTTTCATAATCGACGACAGTAAAAGGTTTCTCTAGCTATTAATTGAATTACATACTCAAATTTTAGCGTTCGTAGTACTTAACTTTTCTGCTCTTTCATACTGAGAATAATTGATTCGGTGAACTCTCTCGCGATACGATTCTGCATCGCATTTTAATAAAAGAATCCGTTATTCTCGGGAACTTGCAAATGTAATACATTAAACTCTAAAGTATGCTTGAAAAATCTCCATCAGAATCACCATTGAAAGTTGAATGATCAATGTTCGATATGGACGAGGTTTATAGAGACTACAAAATAGTTTGTCTTCACCATAGAAATAAGTATGCGAAATCATGTAATTTGTTCTTGACAAGATAATTACAGAATTTTACACCAAAATATTATTATTTGATTTATTTATCCAACCCATGATACCTCCCTGTTTTCTGATCTCTGCATTTAAAAAAGAAATGCATTTCGCAAGTCATGTACAATTCGATGACAGAAAAAGAGATTAGAATCGAATCTCTTACCTTAATTTTGTTTTCATCATTGTTTGTCAATAAATCATTTTATCGACACGGAAAATGTGTCAAGTTGTAATCACGAGGATATTCAGTGTTATACGAAAAAATTTTACGATTACTACAAGATCCCTTATCTATGTATATGTATACGGTCGTCAATCGTATTTTTGCTTTGTCACAATTATTTATCAACGATTTCAGATGGCATTCCAATGTGAGACGGAAATTACATCATACAAATTCAATTATAAATTGTACGAGCGCGCGCTCATTCTCTCAGTCTTATTTTGTCAAAGGACGGGGCAACATCCTCCACTATCTGCGGTGCTTCAAGTCTTTATCTTACTTGTAGCTATTTATATTGTTTTCACTCCATCGAAATTAACCGTTCGATCGTCAGTTCGAATGCTACATCATATATTTCTAAACCTGAAGAATTTTAATTCTATACCAGTGAATCCGCACTTCAACGTATTCATCTAAAAAGGTAGGATTTTTTTTTATTAAAAGTTATACATTTGTAAATTTCATCATCCTCTGTTTTTGTTTCGACACAATTTCTCAAAGTTGATACACGTTAGCTCGATTTTTTAAAACACGTTTAATAATGAAATTGAATTTAACAGTTCTGTAAATACGAGTTTGACGGATGTAAAATTAGGGAAAATATGACTGTAGTTATTACAGAAATGTTTTAAAATAAACATCAAATAAAAATACTCGAGTGATAATCTGATGTAACATCTTCATCTAATGAGCGCGTGCCTTCAGATACTCTGACCTCTCAGTTTCTCACGATAACTGATTAAAATTTCCTAATTCTAAAATAATGTTGGATGTGCATTTCACGTTAACTCGTTACAATTCGAACAAAAAGTTTGAATCTATCTAATAATTAAAAGCTTTTAACAATGAAACTCGAAATTAAAACCGGTCGTTTCATTATTACACGAAAACATGATTCCAGTTTTATCAGAGCGCAAAACTGTGAAACAATGGATTCGGTGTTTCGTACGCGATCGCTTGGAACAGCCGCGGAGGGTGTGCGGGATCAGTACGCGGACGGAAGAGCCGCACGAGTCTGGGAAGTGTTTATCGGCGACAAGAAACAGAGGACCCAAAATTATCGGGACTTTCTGGTGGGCCTTCTACGGAATCGAGGATGCAAACGAATTTTGGACGTGGCCTGCGGAACGGGGGTGGATTCAGTAATGCTCCTCGAGGAGGGTTTCGAAGTGACCAGCGTGGACGCTTCGGACAAAATGCTGAAATACGCCCTAAAGTCAAGATGGGAACGTCGCAAGGAACCGGAGTTTGACAATTGGGGTAAATATCTTTCAACATTTTTTATTACACATTATCTGACTTAAGAACTTCATAAAATCAGTGGATGAGTAAACATCTGCTTTTTGAGCATTCTCTCATGGCCTCGCGAAGATATAACTCGTTATTTCTTATCGCGACTTGGGAGAGGTAATGTGACAGAGAATACGGTCACCTTATCAAGGGTCAATGCGTGCTTTGAATTCTTTTTAATTTTGCTCGTGAAAGATTACAGCAAAATCTTCCTCAGCGAATTCTTTTACTCATACCTTGACATATGTCGCAACTGTCGCAAGATTTGCAATTAATGACGTTTCTTCACACTACGATATTAATTTTTGCAGTGATTGAAGAAGCAAACTGGTTGAGTCTACCAAAGGACATTCGTCATTTAGTAGGAGACGGATTCGACGCTGTGATCTGTTTGGGCAACAGTTTCGCTCACATGCCCGACACGTTTGGCGACCAACGGGAACAGAGGTATATATCGCGGATATTCTTATTTTATCACTAAATTCGCTACTATGCAAATATTTATTTCGCGATTGAATGCAGACAAGCGTTGCTGAATTTCGAACGTTGCGTGAAACCCGGTGGTTTGCTACTCATCGATCACAGGAACTACGATTACATAATTGAAACCGGAGACGTGCCGTCTAAATGTATATACTATAACGTGAGTATTCGTTCAGGCAATTAAAATCCAAATCCCTTAATAATCTCTCCTTGATGCGTGAATCGCGAATCACGGATTCTTATCTTACCTTGGCGTTGAACTTGTTTTCTTGAACGTCCCACTGGTGTTTCAGAGTCAACGCATCACAGATCTGACGGCATCAGTTCTCTTCGTTTCCGGAAAGCCGGCGATCGTCACTTTGGACTACGCGATCACATTGGATAACGGGGATGAGGACAAGGACGAGGACGATCGCCAGTCGCAGATCAACGAATTCAGGTTATCATATTATCCGCACAGATTAGATGTGTTCACGGAAATGTTAGACGAGGCATTCTACCATAAAGCCAAGCACACTATTTACGGGGATTTCAAATCGCTCGATAATATAAAGAACCCCGGTTTCTACATCCACGTGATGGAGAAACCTATATAAAATATGAAAATTCGTTTTGTTACAAATCACTGTTCATTACGCACCGTCGCAACGTGTCGATATGCAACGACATGACACGACACGATCGTCTTTTTTTATTTATTATGTACAAGAAGAAAGTAAAGTTACTGGAAATGTTCTTAAGCAGGATTGATTTGGATATCTAGTCGTTTTCGGGAATCACATTTTGCGTTATCGTTAATCACGTTATTCATTTTGTATAGGTTTTTATATTTAATGTAAGCCAATAAGAACTGTTTCAACTGATATTAACTATTTGGTGACCATCAGTAATAATTGACTCGTTCTTGTAATTTTGTGTATTATAAAGCATTAGTTGTAAGTTGACACAGAATTAGGGGATAATAAAGATATTATAAGCGAAAAGAATATGCCTTAATTATCTGAAGAACCCGTTCACCCCCACACGTGTGTATACAAAGAAGCGGATCTCATTTAAGTTTGAATCTTTTTTTATTATAAGTTCGAAAGCAGCTTTCTTTTGAGTATTCTAGCCAGGCTTCGTTCGATGCTACAATTTGATCTCTCGACGATACGATTTTATCATCACTTATTCTATGTCCCATTCGTTCTTAATGGTTTCTCTTTCGAGCGGTCGTTGGCGACGACGACGAAAATTCATAAATTCTCGACTCCTTGATCGACCCGTTCGAAGGTTCCACGCTCCGCGAAGAAACAAAATTGGGAAGACTAGGCGAACGCAACACCGCGGAAGATTCGAAGCTAGACGGTTTTACTTTTTACGGTGTGCACACCCGTGTATGAAACGAAACGAAACGAAGCTTTCAGATCCCCGAAACGTAGCCTCAGCATCGACGCTTCGATTCCATTGCTTGCCTAAATCGATGCTCGTTCGAAAAGTCCATTAAATCGTCTGTCGTTACCGAATTTACGTCATCCTCAGATTGAAAAAGCATACGCACGCAGATAACTTTGAAACCTTTGACCAGAAATCGGATGGACATTTTAAGCTACTCTCGCAAGTTATTGAAATCCTTTTAAACTACTTTGACAATTGAAATCTGCCGTACAAGATTCGATATTTACAGAATTGTTCGACGAGTTCGAGGCAAGGTTTCAAAGTTATTTCACAGAACGGATAACGATTGAAATCGAAGAACGATCACGGTCGAAGCTGAGGTTCTCTTTTCTGTCGATCGAGATCTACTCAAGGAGATATGTTTTCGATCGTCGACGATCGCTCTAACTGAAAACATGTAACAATCATAGAAGAACGCGCGCGTAGGACCATTCGTTCGTCGCGTTTCATTATCTCTCGTCGAGGTCGAATTTTTTTTTACGAGAGTTCGCAAACGACTTGGCTACCGTCGATTTCCCATCGCCACGAAGATCGATCGACCTGACTTTTGTTCATTCGTCTGCGCGATAAAATCTGTTCTCGTCGACTCATCTCGGAAAAATAAAATGATTCAGCAGAAAGGAACGGTGAGTGGTGCAGTGGAAACGATCGATCGATCCTGCGTGACGTTCGATCATCAAGCAGTTTACCAGAAATGACAAGGATAGAATTTACAAGGCCGAGGACTTGATTACAGTGCAACGAGTTGCCCATATAGAAAAATGGACGAAGTGTTAGTTATAGCAAAAATTTTCTTTACCCCCCATCCCTTTTTTGTCCTAATAGTATATAATCATAATAATGATAATATATATTTTTTCTTTATTTCTTTGTTATTCCGCCGGATAGCTATATATTCTGTATAGACTCTCTCAATCGTTCTTTTTTTTTTTCACAAAAAATTCGATACAATCACGGCTTCTTCGATCGTCGCTATTATCATCGTCGTCGCCGTCGCGCGTGCAACATCTGTTTCTTCTCTTCAACACCATGAAACGAAACAAGATTTAATTACAGATTTAAATGCACTTTCGTTCGATCGTCTCGTTTTTCCTTAACGCCAGGATTAAGAAACAAACGAACTGGTTTGGAAATAAACGAAAACGGTTCGACGACGACGACCGTGTCGCGACTCTCTCCGCACAGCGATAATCCCTTTATTGCAAAGTAGCTGATATATAAAAAATCGTAATATCACATGTTTATCATATCTCCTTTCTTGAAATCGGCAATTTTTCCCCCGCCCGAAGCGGATCGCTCTGCGATTCGGAGATCGCTACGAAATGCGAGACTGCCCACGCTGGTGCCGGTATCGTGACACGGGAATAAAAATTTCGTTCGGTTATCGAATATATTTTTAAGCGAGAAAGAACGTACTTATGACTGCTTGGAGCGTATAAAAGATAGCGGAGTCGGAATCGCAGATTAATCGACCGGATATGCAGCGTCGAAAAAGGGGTAAGGCGCACCGTAGTCGATTCTTTAATTTTTAATCGACGCGCGTCAACTGATAGAAAGGTCTCAATGGCATGTTTAAACTTTCGCGTTCGCATTATTATTATTATTATTATTATTATTATTATTATTATTATTATTATTATTATTTTTTGTCAAAGTGTATAGAAACTACGATAGAGCCAACTATATCGTCTCCACCACTAAGACCTAATTATTCAACAAAGTCCTCGTAAATCCTCCGACAATATAATTTTTGTTCGTCTTGTTCTTATATTACCTCGTTAAAGCCCGTTGACCATAGTCGAGTGGAATCCTTAATGGACGAGTGGTAGTGTTAGCTCAACCGCAGTAGCCCGATTAAAAACATTTCTCCATTCGACTCGCGGACTATTCATTTAATTTTAAAAGAAACGCCGAATCGCAGCTCCACTCGACTGTGCAACGGGCTCGAATATTATCGAGTAAGAACCACCAATTTCTGCTTCTCTCCTTGTACTCGCGCTCTTCGTCCTTCTTCTGCACACGCACACACACACGCACTCTCGCACTCTTCTCGATTCTCGTGTTCGCTCCTATTTATAATATTTACACGCGTGAAATATCCCTGCCAGCGCGTCCGCCCGTGTTCCCTTCGTTTCTTCAATTATATCATTGGAACCCGTCGCGGTTCCGTTCCTGTAGACTGTAGAGCAACGTTCAGTCGAGTTTATGTTTAGGTAGACTATCAATGCACGATACTTGATAAATTTACAGCGAGCTTGGCTTATCGTATAATACGCGTTTACAATCGTTTCGGTTTGTCCGTTAAGTTTGCCTCGGTCCGCGGAGAGGACACTTATTCCCTCTCGTCGACGTTCTATACTCGTGGCGTAAAAAATGATACTTATTAAGAATTTTCACAAGCTCCTTCATTTGCGTCCTACTTCTTGGCTTAAGCTAACGAAATATATATCTAAGAGGCTTAGTCGATTATGATCGCAATTCTCTCTACTCGTGAGATCAGTACTTTCCATCTTTGATTGTCCTTCAGAATATTTTGTTACTCAATTTTCTTTCTCGAGGCGGCAGCAACAGAATTAAGTACGACGCGCTTGTTACGCGATCCCGCAAGCAATATCCATGCGACAGAGGAAAGTGTCGATAACGTCAGCCAATAGACGGAAGCTAGTGTCAATATGAATCGCGAGGTATTCTTTTTAAACGGTGTTACTCACGGGATCATTTAACTGGCGTATTTCTTTATTACCTGCAGTTACTGTAAAAATGTTCGTTCGGTACGGAAGCTGCGCCGGAAGCCGAGAAAGAATTACGCTTGAAAAGAAAAAATAATCAGGCGCGCTTTGTTAATTGTTTATTATTGAACGTTTTCTCGTTGCAAACGCGCTGACAAGAACACACGTGCCGTTTCATCACTCTCTCTCTCTCTCTCTCTCTCTCTCTCTCTCTCTCTCTCTCTCTATGTATACTGTGTGTCTGTGTGTATGTACGAATATATAATATATATACACATTGTCGTAGTTACAAGATTTATGTACACCTAATATTGCTGTTTGGCTTCTCAGTGAATGCCATGCGAACCGCGTTACAGAGATTAGGTCATCTTCTGCGATTTGTAACAAAGTGTATACGGAGTCTTCGAGTTCCTCTCTACGATTCGCGTTTAACGCGAAATTATCGAAGATGCAAGCGAATTTTTTAATTCGGTCGAAAAACATTTCTCTTTAACTTTACCCTTGGAGAGATGATCGAATTACATCGTTACAACATAATCTCGAATAAATAAAAATATATCTATAAAGGAACTTATAACAGAACAGCGAATACTTCGATTCACGAACAACGAGTGATTAATTCAACTTTTAGTCATCTTTAACAGCTGGTAAATTTAATTTAGGGAAGTAAAACTAAAAGTAAAAAAAATAGTTTAATCTGAAATCTGATAAAACAAGCACAGCCAAATGCAGAATTCTCGGCAGAAGCCTAAAGTTCTTTTCCCTCCGTCTTCTAGAACGAAGAGTTTTTTTTTTACCTTACACGGACCGATCACAGTCCTGCACCCACTTGCACTTAAACGTACACTAGATCGTTGAAAAAGTGAATTCTGAAAAAGAAACGCGGCTCTACGATACACAGACAGTGAAACAATTAACCGTAAAAGATTCGACGATGCAACTCGATTTGGTCAACTTCGCCTTAAGTCATTATGCGAGGACTAAACCCCTCGCTTTTTCATTTTCAATCGGTCCCTGGCATTTCGATTGTACCGAACAGTTAAAGGATCGCGTATCGTTGTTTATCGGACAATCGGAATACTTATTAATATCCTTTATTCGTTAGGATTAGTTAAGAATGTACGCGGCGATTCTTTAATCGTTAGGACGACACTCCCTGTTCTTTTATCTTCGCTCGTTCCCACGCCCGTTTCAGTTTTGTACATTATTTTGTATTTTGTTTGGTAAGTTTCGTTTGTTGTTATTTAAAATCTATCGCGCCGTTACGAGTCTAGCTGAGATCCCCTAAAGATGCGTGTAAACCTACAATGTGTCTGTGTATGTATGTGTTTGTGTGTATGTTATCTTACGTATTTGGAAAGTGAGTATTGTGAATTTAGTTTTCATTCTTTCCATTTGAACGTTCGATGTCTCGAAGAAGCCGTCGTAAGCAATCACTGATCTCTATAGAACACTGCATAGTGGATGTGTACTAATGATAATGGCCCTAATTGAAATATCTGCAGCTATTGAGGTCTTTTAGGCGTTTTTCTGGTAAAATAACTCCATTCCTTTTTCTATTAACTGTCTCATTAAAATCGGTTTTAAAAGTCTTTCGAATCTAAATAATCACGGCATTTTTATTTCACGCGTATTATATTTAACCAAATGACCAATCTTGAGGATGGGAACACGAAATTGGAAATTATCTCTTCTTACAATTAGATCATCCAAATAAATGAGGCAGAAACAATTATGCTGTCACTACTGATTGGTAGTTTTAGTGTTATTTATATTCTAAATTATATATATTAATAAAAACGTAAATTTATTCATACAAGAATATTGAGTTTTTGATTGAAAACCTTTTTAGTTCATAAAGGAAGACAGGACGAAGAAAATCAATTTCGATTCATCCCGATATCTTAATCCGTTCCGGAGATATAGGCTTCCAAATTTTTTAGGCGCAGCGTTTGGTAAGGTTTGGTATTACTGACATAGTGACCCAGTTATTTGCTGGAAAAGATGCGTATCAGCTGAGCGTCTAGACCGCTGAGTCGGTCGATGTGTGAGAGGGACGACAATAGTGCGCCGAAGAAATTATGTTTATCTTCACACGACGATATTTCCGGAACCGGAAGTCGGATGGAGATGAATCAAACGGAATTTTAAAAAGGAGGCTTCTCCGCTTCAGATATTGCAAATTTCAATCGTCTACAGTTATCTTTTGCGATGTTACGGATCGATAAACTTTTATCTTCTTTTCTCTTCGGTCTACTGTGTCGGAGTAACGGAACTCGCGATCGAACTTATCCTAATTGCGAGAGCGGTAAAGTATTAACACTGGTACAGTGGTGGAATGATGTGTGTGTGAAGTACCTCGTTTCTCACGAGTTATGCGTAATGGAAAGGACAGCAAATATGAATTAGCGCACTATCGATGTGTGTGAGAAAAATGAGCGGCCGCAATTATAGTTTCAGTTGGGACCATATTCGTAACGAGCCAACTATGCCAATCTACTATCCAGTGTTCTATAGAGACCAGTGTAAGCAGTATATAATTCAATATACTTTTAGTATTTTTTCTTTTCATTTTTTATTTATTTTTTGAACCGCACGTTTGGCCATGCAAAAATATGCCAAGTTGTATTACGGTAACGAAACCGTTTCGTCGGTACAAACGTCCTTACCTTTCTTCCAAATCCGTTATCCCTTTCGCTTTCCCTTTTTCTTGCCTCGCATTCGTCCTTCGCGTGTACCGACACCGACGAAGCTCGCCGAAGACCAGACGCGAAGCGAGTAGCGGAAATGTAGTGTGCTCTTAAAACTTACGCAGGTGTAACTTTACAGATATCTTTTTTTACGCCTACACACTCGGCTCGCTTCGTTGGAAAACGGAGTGTTCGCTAAAACGACCACTTTTTATATTTTCGTTAAAAAAGCACAATTCGACTTTCTTCTCTTCGAAAGACACATGACTATATCACACGCAACTTCCCCCGTTTCACCACCACTTCGACCGGATCAACAGCTTTGACGATCCCACTCCACCCTTCATACCAGGGTAAAGAGATCTCCTTTGCTCGGAGAGAAGCAAACTTGATCAGAGATAACGCCGGTTGGTCCCAGCAATTCTCGTCAGAGGATGAGCCTCGAGACGACCGCCCGGAACCTTAAGAACTTTCACAAGTACTCCCTGGGCCTGGGCGGAGGTCTCTTCCTGTTGGATCTGTCGCTCCTTTCCGTAGAGGTGGTGGTGAGGCTCAGTTCCCTGTCGTCCGTGCACTCGAGCATCTGCGTCGTCTCCGTCGCCTCCGACGGACTTATCGGCTGACTGGCCAGCGGTGCCAACGGCGCGGCTCCCTTGTTCCTCGATTTACTCCTCCTCTTCCTCAAAATCAACGGCCCGAGCGGCGCGGAGTCGTCTCCCCTGGAAGTGGACGCCTGAGCCAGTCTCTCCAACAACTCCTTGCTCATCTGACTCGACGAAGTTTTGTAATCACTACTGTCCTTCAGTCTATCCGACTGTTGCGATTGATGATGGTGATGGTGATGATGATGATGTTCTTGCGACTTCGAGCCGCGTTCGGTTATCGTGCTCTGCTCCCTGTATCCCTCGCTCGTCGTCGACGTGGACGTGGTCGCGATGGACACTTTCTGTTCGCTCCCACTCGAAGTTTGCATACCCTGGGAACTTTGCTGACATCCACTTTGTGATTGAGCGCTCGGTTGATTCTGTGAGGAACCACCATTACCACCCGTCATCGAACCATTCGGACCCTTCTGCTGTTGCGGACTGATCGCGGGAAGTTTGTTCACCAACGACTGCAGCATGTCCTCGATCTTTGCAAGTCTCTGATTCACCCTTTGCACCTCTAATTTCAAGTCCACTTTCACCTCCAACACAGCAGCCAGAATCTCGCGATCATGGCTAGAATGAGTGGATATCAAACCGTCATCGTAGCTCTCCAGTCGACGAAGCTGTAACTGCTTCGAATCCACGATACTCTGCTGCTGCTGTTGTTGCTGTTGTTGCTGCTGCTGCTGCTGCTGACTTTCCTTCGCAGCCTCTGCGTCCGCCGTCGACTCCTCTATCGTCCCAGACAATTTCCCGAATTTGGGGAATATTTTATTGATACCGGTGCTGGAACCGGGTCGAGCGTCCCTCGCGCTCAGAGAACGTTTGAACGTGTCTCCGCCTGTTCCTGTATCGCTTCCTGAGTCCAGGCTGGAGCTTCCTACGGAAAGTGAAACATTTTAATGAATCTTGCATCGATCTCGCTCGAAAGTAGCGCACGCTACGATGGGGGCTCGTTCGTTGATAAATAAATAAACTAATTCATTTACCTAAGAGTCGTCCCCACTTCCCGGCCCGTCCCTTAGTGGCAGTGTCCCCATCCGCGGTTGAGAGTTTCCTAGCATGCGAGGATTCACCCTCCTTGCTCTCTTTCCCATCCTTACCATCGCCCTTCTCCACGTCCGCAGTATGCCGTTCCCTGCGGAACCTGGATAGAAAAAAGTAGAGAACAAAAACGCTCGTATTTAGTCACGTCGACATGATTCCGTTTCCGTACTATTGTATTTACATTACTGGGGGTTAAGAGGCCAGTTTCACTAGGCGATCAAAAGGGGGGATAATAAGTTTACATGGTGTGTACAAATCGTAGGTAGGAGAATAATACATTTATTTTTTTTTTTCGTCCAAAAGTTTCACTTTTTTTTGGCTCTGGACACCGTGAAACTTTTCTTTTCCCTTCGAATGATCTGATCGGCGAGCACAATTCCGTGCGATTCGCTTCTATTTCATTTTGGATGGGTTGGTGTATTGCATATGCACAGTTTCGACATGGTGGTCATCTTTTTTTTTTTCTTTACTCTGTACTGGTTCTTTTTTTTTTTATTTAATATGGCAAATGTGTTCAAGTTCGTTCTACTGAGGCTAAAAAAAGGGAGACAGCTCCAGCAGTGTGTCACGAGCAACCTACTTTGGTGTGCCTACGGGATTTGAAAGAAAGTAATCCTCGGTGGTGATAAGAATGCCGGTTAAACATACAGGGTAAACCTGGCGGCGTCGATGAACTGATTGTTGTCTCAAGTATCATTAAACGAGAGAATACTAAAAATAAAAGTAAAATCGTTCCACAGAAAATGTGACAGGACTCTGAAACGACGATACACAGGAGGGCAAAGTTCGTCGTATCGATCGTACGATTATACAATTCGTTCTGAAAGTTTTGCGGTACGTAATTCCGGCGTGACGACACTTTTTTTTACCGAGGCGTCGCGTCCACCGGCTTCCTCTAATGAAAAGTCGGCGCACGTTATCGCGGTACTTTTCACGCTGAATTGGTCGACTTGGAAACTCTGTTCTCGACCCGTAATTACACCCCCGCGTCCGCCGGGAGCATCAAAGTTTAAATTATCGGTTACGTACCGCGAGACGCGAGCGAAGAATGACAAATCAGAATAAGTAGGTAAATAGTTCTCAACACGCCTTTCATTCTACTTTCCCCTCCCTAACATTTGCATCTCCGTGGACGTGAACAACCAAGAGCTTGAACTCTCTCTAAAGGATAAAGTAAAACAGGGCACATCTTATGACCGTCATAAAGTAAAAGTTAATAAAACCGCGAAAGGACACAATTGTCGTTCATCGACGCAACGTTTCATGATAATTGGTCGTGATGGTAACGAGCTGCCTGATTAACTGTGGGAATGCCATCGAAAATCGACCCGACCGATCGATCGATCGGCGGGAAAAGATACTGAATCGTCTCGTTCGTCTCTAAAATCGTATCAGTTTGATTATTTAGTAAAAGTACATTCTACGAGTCTATCATGCACGTAACATGCCACGTTCGAGGCTTCTAAAAGAGATCGGTCGTCACCAGAAAAAAAAAGTATTTGGATTATTTGTAAATCGTTCGGCAGTCTGTCAGCTCTTCAAGCAGCTACTTGGCATCGTTATACATATAATGGATATATGTATAAAGATGTATATATGTATATATATGTATATATATAAGTACAGGTGACAGGTGACAGAGAGAAATTTGAATCCTAGAGTGTGTACGTCACATGCATTCGGCGTTGCATAAAATCGTAAACGGATCGGATGCTCGCGAGGTGGAGGGCTCTGGTATTTCTTTCGATTCGACGAGAACATCTCGTATCGCATTAGAACGAATACCTTCTTCTGTTACACCGTGCAGTTCCGTTCGGAAGACTAAAACGGCACAGACGACTGAAGTGCGCGCGCGAAAGAAACGCAGAGTCCTCTTAGTCGCTCTATACAAATCCTGGTTTTACTAAGAGTATATAATATATGTATACATATTTATTATAGTGGGAGAAAAATGCGCATAACCCTCTAAAGCCGTATATCTTACAGCACTCTAGCATTCATCAGAACTGCAGTGATCGTTTAAAAATGGCAAAGATTGTATGGCATCGGGTGACGTGTACGCATCTAGGAACGATGCTGGTCCTAGACAAATCGAGATCTTTCTTCCATTTCGACGAGTTGAATAGCGTTTTTGAAAAAAGAGAGAAACATTGATCATGTGTGTTTAGCTCGAGTAAAAACTGATTCAGCGAAGAACGCGGAGTCGATTTGCCTGGGTCAATTCGTAGACGTGCTGAAGTGAGAATACATATCAGTTTCTCTTTCAAGCGTGTGTACAGCGATTGCACATCCATGATACCCTTCGAAACCTTTTTCTCGAGAAAATGCGTATCAGTCGCTCCCGGAGGAGACGTGGCGCGAATACACGTAGCAAGATCGTAACGACACGACCGTGGAACAACAAGAAGAAGAAAAAACGGTCTCGCGAGGTTGCTTTTATTTTTCGTCCGATATACGATTCTACTCTCGATACGTTTTTCTTTCTTATATTTTTTCTCTTTTTTCATTTTATGTTAGACGATCGAAATACAAAATTCTGCACGGTCCATCGTTGTCGAAAGTCGCTCGTCCCGAGGTGGATCGTGTGCCGATCTAAAAAAAAGTATTTTCCTCGATACTCGAATCTCTTTTAGACAAAAATACGTTTTGCGTTCTCTCAACAAATATTTTCTAGGCGGGAACACATGTACAAAATCGACCCGTACAAAATATACATGTATACAATAATATAATAATGATCATTAGTCATGTGTATATATATATATCTATAAAAATATATATCGTATATACATATAGAGAGAGATGTATATATAGTAATCACAGTTGAAAATAGTAATAACAGATACATAATGTTATACAATAATAATAACGATGATCAATAATAATCATAATGAGAAGAATAATCAATTGAATCAATATTAATAAAGAGTAATAATATATAATCAATAATTTAAGAAGTGTACGTAAGAAGTAGCAAAGATGGCAATAAAAAGAATGAAGAAAGATAAATAAATACGTAAGAAATGAAATTGCCTAAAACTGGGCCAGGGCGGCAGGACGTTCACGGTGAGCTCCTCGTCGGAATCCTGCTGGGACCGTCCGTTCGCGGCCCTGCTCACGCCGATCTGGGCATCCCCGTCGGTCTTGAACCTTTGCGGACAACAGGCCAGCCAAGCAACGATCAACAATCAACAACAATTTACCAGAACACATACGATACGAAAATTTCTAATTGTTTTTATTTATTTCCCTCGCTTTTATTTTACTTTATACATATATTCGCATTGATCTCGTTTCCCTCTTTCTCTCCCGCCCTTTCGCACCCTCTCTCTCTCGCGCGCGCTCGTGCTCACGCTTTTCGATGTCAATGATGTTGATTCTGTTAATGGCGCGATGTTTGCGCGCATGCATCTCACTCGTTCTTTTTAATCGTAACTTTTCCTCGCAAAGAGAGTCTGGAGGAGATGCACGCGCGCGGGCACGAAATATTAAACGCATACCGAAGACAAAATTGGCTTAAGTTCCCACACACGATGTTGCTACAAAGCGGAATCGTTTGAATACCGACGGTCTCACGGCTTTTGTCTTCAGTGCGCCATGCGGATGGCGAATGAACATTCAAAATCGTTCGCTCTGGCCCATTCTCGCTGCACGTTCTCTCGTCCGACATTTCCATCGAGATTGCGATTTTAAAAAAACATATACACATATCGATCAGTCTTGGATTTGCGAATACAGACCGGCTGTCCACTCCGAGCGGTCTTCCACGTGGTCACACGAAGTAATCGAAGCTGTACGTTTCGTTAATTACATTAGGAATCCGTACTCGTTTTTCGCTATAAGTAATGCTTAACCTTCGTAAACAAACAACGAACTCGATAATTGAATTTATTGACAAACGAATACGTATTCTCTGTATTAATCCTAAGTTCAACGTCGACTTCCCCCAATGCTTTTTCGCTCGCTCATTTAAACTGACTTTATTTATGTTACACTACGAAATTCGGTTTTACAGATGAAAGAGCATCAGGACAAGCGTTTATTATATTTAGAATGGTAGTCTGGAACGGTTTCCGTTCGAGATTTACGAGCAATAAATCGGTTCCTACCTCGAGAAAATTTTCCGCACTAGGTGATCCTGCGCCTGGTCCAACTGCGGCTCGTTCTTCATCCTCTCCGCCAATTCCTTCTCCCGACGAACATCGGCCACCTTCCGGAAGATCAGCTGCACAAAACGTCCGATTCGACTGAATTTCATCGCTCAAGCTTAAACACTCATCGTATCGCAACGAGGTCAATTATTCTTTGCAATGCGCGTTTTTAAATATCGCGACGTCGAATTAAACCAGTTCGTTAGAACGTGCGGTCAATTAGCGATCGTTTCTGCTTCGTTTGTTCCCTCGTTTCGATGATTTACAACTCTTTATCCGTTTTTCCAATCCTTCCTTCGCAGATATTCAACAGTTCATTAATTTTAATCTTGATCCTCTCATGCTCGGACGAAAAATCATTTCTCTCAGATACTGGAAGCCCATCCGATTAGAACTGAGCCTTCATCCGTTAATTCTACTGATTGCATATCGATTTTCATATATGTGTTTAGTGTTTAATGAGTCTGCGCTTCGATACATGTCCGATTCGAATGGAGATAACCGAAGTGATTAAATTTCTCGGAGATAGAGTTTATTGCGCCAGGAAAAGAAACGCTCCTGTATTCGTTCTTCGTTCCTCCCTTTTTTTTCCGGATGAAGAGTGGCGAAAGTTAAGGGTGGGAGTGCTGTTTAAAACACGCTTGCGCTGGCAGAACAGTCGATAGGCGCACAGCTAGCAGATTACTTGCACTCGTGACCCTCGCGACTAACCTCAAAATATTTTATTTATCGTGTCTGACCGAGAGAAAGGCTGTGGGTCATTCCACTAACAATTCCGGGCGATTCGTCAAACGTTTCGGAGAAAAGTAGTTACGCCGCGCGTGCTTTTTCCACCAAGATTCGTATCGAATCGAATTACCAGAGGGAAAACATAGGTATATGGATTGCTGTGGAGGAGGCTACGCGCGTTTGAAAGGTATTCATTTGAACACTGCTTTCCTTGTACCTCTTTTTAACCGAACGTTAATATCGATGTTTTTACATAATTAATAATTGTGATCAAACTGTATGAAGTATCATCGCAAAGTAGTTCGATCAATTGAGAATCGTGTGTTTACGTTTCAATTGTTTTGGAATTCCGACCCATTTATAATGGATACGATCGATTTTTTTTTTACAGATGGGTCATGGTTCCAGCCGATCTGCTTCATCCGCGAATATCCTGTCAGCGGACGAGCTGACTTTGGTGGAGAACCTCTTCAAATCTATGTCCCGAAGCTCGGGTTCCATAAAACGCGAAGATATATTTAAACACTGGTCCACCCATTTGGACGACGGGTTATTGCAATTCGTAGTAAAGTTCCTCTGCTACGAGCCGGGAAAAAGAGTGTCCGCGATTAACGGAGAGAATTTCGGAAGATTGTACGTGTTCGCCGTTCGCGGGAACCCGGAAGAGAGGACAAGCTTAATATTCAATGGCTTCTCCGAGGAGGAACAGAAACACGAAATACCAATTGCATCGTTCCTTCAATACGTTCAGGCAACCATAAATTCCTATCTGAAGCTCCAGAAGAACGCGGGCAACGCACACTATCTGACTTGGAGCAGCATCGGCTGCACGGTGAACACCAGGAGGATAAACATGAGGTCCAGAACTCTTTGCGAAGATCTAGTCAAACAGGGAGACGTTCTATCCGTCGAACAAATAGAAAAGTGGTTTTCGACGGCAGCTACCTTCAAACTGATCCAGTCGCACGTTTTCCAGTGCCTTTTTTTGGTCTCGCAAAAGAAGGGAGACAAGAACACCAGCGCTAGAATAAACGACCTGAACCTCCTACCGGGTTGCAAGGGGCTGGAAAACATACCACACTTCCCAAGTATCCTGGGCCTTGGCGACGTTCTGTTCCTAAATCTCAGTTTGCCTCACGAGCTCCGCAACGAATGGAGATTCTTGTTCTCTAGTCAAGTACACGGAGAGTCGTTCTCCACCATGCTCGGAAGGATCACCATGCAAGGGGCCACAATTATAATTCTACAGGACGCGGACGATCACGTGTTCGGTGGTTTCGCGTCGGACAGCTGGAAGTTGGGATCGAACTTCATAGGAAATCAGAGCTGCTTCCTGTTCAAACTGGATCCGGATATACTCACGTTTCCTTCTACTGGCTACAATAATCACTATCAGTATTTAAATCTTCATCAACAAACTATGCCTAACGGTTTGCTCATGGGAGGACAATTTAACTATCCGGGTTTGTGGTTGGACTGTGAATACGGGTTGGGAAAATCGAGTCTGTCCTGCACGACTTTCCAGAACTATATACAGCTCAGCGGCAAGGAGAACTTCAGGATTAAACACTGCGAGGTGTGGGGAGTGGGTCCTATCCCGGAAGTGGAGGAGAGAGAGGATTCGACGTCGATACTGGATCAAGACTCGACTTCGAAGGTTCTTCTACAGATGTCTGGACGCAAGATGTACAGTGAGGATGTAAGGGAGGTGAAAGAATAATTGTGATACCAGGGATTCGTCTGATAACGAGATGACCTACGTATGCGTAAACGTGTAACAGGCTACTCAAAATTATACCAGCTTTTTAGAAACGAGAAAAAGTTATTGTAACGCAGTGAAAAAATGTAATTAAAAAGTATGAATGATCAACAATCGCTTTCCGTAAGCTTACGTATATTTTCGTGTCCATATCGTTAACCATATCGTTTGGAAAAAGAAAAAAAAAACACGGCCTGATCGTTCGTACTAGCGTCGTTTTTCAGTTCGCTCTATGATCGATGAAGCGATGTCTGAGAAAGATACATGAAGGATGAAAAATATGTCGCGTTGCTGTGTCTTTCGAATGCCTATTACAGTGCCTGGTAAGTCATCGATCATTTTTAATCGGATTTCTCGGTATACCGATTGAACAATGTCCACCCAAGAGAACCGTTGTAAATCACGAACTCGTTACTATTGTTATTTAAGACTGTGCGTGTGTGTTTTCCGAGAGACTGAATATGTGTGCGCGGGTGTTATATTCGTACATAAACCGTCCGATGAGTACTGTTCACTGTACTCGTCGGGAGAACAAAGCCAAAGAGCGAACACTGCACTGTTATTCAGTACGTTAAGTACTTATTCAATAAAGTATTAAAAATCTTAAAGGATGAAAACCTTTTTCTTTCAATTTTCCCGAGATTTGTCCCTTTAAGTTCGTCTGACCCGTACAGGAAAGCTAAAGATAGAAAACTGAACGCACTTACCCGATGGCTTAAGTTGTACGTCAGGACAAGATTCCTGGCGAAGGAGTTTGCGAAGGCCTGATAAAAATCCAACACCTCCAGCAATCGATCTCTCTTGATCGTGTGCAAATCGCAGTAGGTAAGAGCCCGAACGTTCGCAGCGCTTTGTCCGACCGACGTAGGATTCGTCCAGAAACTGTCGCCAAACACGTCGCCCTTCCCGAGGATCGCCACGACTTCGTCGTCCTGGATCACCTCCAAACTCCCGGTCACGATGAAGCACAGCGAATCGATCGACTCGCCCGTGTGATAGAGAAGATCACCTGGCGCGCTGTGAGACATCGTGAAGTGCATCGCTAGGGCACGGAGGCAACCGTCGGAGGCCAATCTGCAACGATCAGAAACGAATTCGTCACTCGAGAACTCAGGCTTGGAGTCATTCGCATGAGGATGTCTCTTGCCTGAACGCGGGATGTTCGTTGAAAACTTTCCGGTTCAGGTGAACGCAGATGTCGGCTTTCATGTCCTTGGGGCAGTAGTTGAGTACCTTGTCGGTGTCTAGGCCTTTGGTCATCGCCCAGGTGCTCACCACGTAGTCCATCACGCGCTCGCTGAGTGCCTTCGGCACCTCGTGCAACTTCATGAACTCTCTCACGTTGTTCAGCATGTCGTGGTACTTGGCCGTCGCCGATGTCATCTGCTGAATTATCGTGGTCACGTGACCGAAGATCGTGGCATACAGCAGAGCTGCGAAAATGATCGCGTATCATCTCTGTTTCTGTATCTCCGTCCCCGTCGCTCCTATCGCCGACCTTACCGGCAATGATCATCATACAGATGGTGAATATCTTCTCGTTGTCGGTCTCGGCAGCGACGTTACCAAACCCTACGGAGGTCATGCAGGTCATCGTAAAGTACAACGCGGTGACATACATGGTCCTCCGACTAGGTCCCGCAATCAATTCTGGCGCAGTGCTGGTATTGGTCCACAGATAACTATACGGCGACTGGGTGACGTTCGCCAATTTCCACAGCCAGGAGTATTGGACTCCATTCTCCGCGTCCGATCTCCCTATCGAGTACCTTCAACGCAACGACACTTCTTATCCGTTGAACGACCACGCCTTCGCTGAGCTACCGTACAAAGTCGCTAATCGAAGCAGATTTCCAATCAGAGGTTTTAATCACGCTGACCGAAAATCCCGCCCCAATAAATTGATAAATGAAAGGCGACGAGGCATAATTCTGAGACGCGTAATAGAAGCACGCATGCTTTTTTTTTGCTCTGCCTCAAAGCGGTTCTTCGTTTTCTCTCGACCCGACCGTCATCCTCTTTTCTTTCTACATTCCATTCTTTGAATGTAAACGGTGAAGAGGATCACGGTTAAACACTCGAAGCTTCTCTTTGGAAATGAACAGGCTTCGTCAATGGAAGATAACGAGAGCTTTCGCGTAACGTTCGTGGTTCCACGATCGTCGTCTCGACGAAAGGACGCAGTTTCTTTGTCGAGGAAACGAGCGTGACATTATCATCGTCGGAAACTTTCTTCCGCCACTCTCGAGAAGAAGCCTCCTTTCGTTCTTTCTCTTTCTCTCACTCTCTATCCCTCTCTCTCTCTCTCTCTCTCTCTCTCTCTCTCATTCTTTTTTTCCCCTCGTCTCTTCAAAAACCAGCCAGCCGTTAATTTGAAGCGCTACTTCATTTTTATGCTGCTTCGAGCTGGGAAGAAGCAAAAATAATTAAGGAGCGAGATGAAGGAACTAGACAGCGGTTTCAATGCTACGAGTTCCTTCGGGGCTATCTCGAAGGTATCCACGGCTTGTATTCGAATGGAAACAAAATATCTCTGCGGGTCTCAGCTAAGCTGTTCCCCAAAGGAACACTTTCTCGATTAGTTTGTGGCCCTTGTCAACTATTCTAGAAGCTATAGCGAACTAGTTCGGATATATTTTTTAGAAAGTCAACGATCAAATCAAAAGCAGATTCAAATAATTTTGGATCAAGAGTGCGATCTATAAAAGCGGCACGGCAAGGCATGTATCGTGTGTGTATGCGTGTGTGCTTCATATGCAGAGTCTCCGCGATTTTAACGATACCAACACGAACAGGCGTTGCAATCGTCAAACATTATGTATGAGATGATCCTACAAATGATGCAACCGATGTATATAATTGTTGTATCTTCTATCAGTATGTTCTCATTATACACAATCCTTGATCTGCTTCATTTGCATTATTTATGGGGACATTCCTCATCGGATATGCAACGCGCGTTCGGTCCGTTGAAATCGGTGAAACCGTTTGCACATGTAAATATTGTTGATGGATCGTCAGATTTGACGGTTAACAGGGGAAATTGCGAATGGGATCGTGGTTTCGATCATAGCCTTTTATCCTGCCGCAGCCGTGTTACCTTTATTGTGTGTGGGCAGAGTAAAATCACCTTAAAGTGACGTACCAGACACAGGCCAGCCAGTGAGCAACCAACATGTAGAAACAGAGCAGTAGAATGAGCATCGCGGCTCCATACTCCAGATACCGGTCTAGTTTCCGAACAACGCGACCCAGCCGGAGGAGACGGACCACTTTCAGGGCCGAGAACAAGCTCCCGATCCCGTCCTCGTCGTGATGGAACGCGTTGAACACATCGTACGGCAGGCAGCTCAGCAGATCGATTATAAACCACGATTTCAGGTAGTTCATTCTGATTACCTGACATTCGGGCACAAACATAGATAGAAAATCCCCTTGGCAGATTTCGTATAAACTTTCTTTTATTTTTGCAAATGATCGTAAAATTTTTTGTACACTAACTAATTGATGCATATCGTCAAAACACGACAGATATAATTTCTGTATAGTATATCGTATGTTTCTTCTATGGAATAAAATTGCAACACGTTTATTATAAATCTTGTCATCATCATTCATAATAGTGGAGAACAGTATCATAGATGATTCTCGATCGGAGGATTCAAACTTTAGAAACAAAACGACATTCCATCCGCGACAGTTAAGGATGTATAGGCTATATAGT